TATTGCCGATAACAAACATAGAAGATTTTGATATAAGTTTTAAAAAAAAAACTCTTTATACTTTGTCTTACATTTGTTATGGTTGTTATCAGGTTTTAATTTATTCTGGCTCTACTGGTACGAGTTATCTTATTCTTGTGTTTCCATTGTGTCTTAAGTCGTTCCACATATTTTCGCACTCACCTTAGAAATATAGTTGTCGTACGATGTGTTTTGTAAGACCATTGTGTTGCTGGTGTACCAGGTCGTACGGAAACTTCTCGTTTCAGAAGGGGGACGAAGGCTGGACGCAGGGTCATCAGGCATATCCACACTGTCTGTGGTGGGCGGTTGAGATACGAAGGACATCAACTGGGGGTTAATGGAGATAACCTGGTGTATATCTTCGATGATATACTAAGGAATCCTTCATCTTCCTTGAAAGTTTCTGATGAACCATGCGAAGCTCTCCCAATCCCAACATTGATTCAAAATCGAGTAAAGAGAATTGATTATTCGAACAGTCGTAATGATTCAAATTTGTCAAGACCAAAGATCTTTGACCTAAACACTTCCTACGGTACGGATGCGGTGTGTAAGATAAATACTCGCATTACGTATGGTAAACTAAGAAAAGTTGGTATGGAAAACAGAATTCAAACACTCACGAAAGTGAAATTGAAAAACATAAGACCAAGTTCAAAGCTGTTTTCATTGTATTCTCTTAACTGCAGATCAGTTAAAAACAAATCACTATCAATATGTAACTATATACTTACAGAGGACCTTGACTTAGTCGCATTGAATGAAACTTGGTTAGGTTCCTCTGTTGATGAAGCTGTTGTGAATGAACTGAAACCATCATGCTACGAAATCATTCGTCAAAATCGCAACAGTGGACGCCGTGGTGGTGGAATAGCTCTTGTCTTTAAGAAGGGAATTGATGTGACCGTTCTGAACACAAGCTCGGATATTTTCACTCAATTCGAACACCTACAAGTTACAGTCCGAATAGAAGACACGAGAATGAATCTATGTATCATTTACAGACCGCCACCTTCTACTGTGAATGGTTTAACTACCAGTCAGTTCTTCTCAGAATGGGACACCTATCTTGATCAGAATACTATATTTCCCCAAGACCTAGTAATCACAGGTGATTTCAATTTTCACGTCGACAATCGTAGTGATCCTGAGGCAAGCAGGTTGATACAATCCCTTGATGATCGCAACCTTATACAACACGTGGACGAGCCGACCCATGTTCACGGACATATCCTAGACTTGCTTATCACACGATCATCTAGTGAAATACTACATTCACGTCTCAAGTCAAAAATCCTTCATTGAGTGATGTGAAAGGAAACTTGTGCTGTGACCACTATGCTATACATGCAACGTTCAACTGCAGAAAGCCACAACATCAACGTAAAGAGATTACATTTAGAAGGCTCAAGAATATCAACATACGTGATATGAGTAGAGATGAAAAATCAATTACAAGATGAATCCGCACGAAATGAGAACACGTCCATTGACAATTTAGTACAAGGGTATAACAAATGCCTCTCGCATATTCTAAACACTCATGCGCCTCTTGTTAGCAAGTCAATTCTTATAAGAGCTAACACAGAGTGGTACACAGACGAGCTCAGGACAGTGAAACAACAGAAGCACGGAGAGACTTTGGCGTAGATCTAAACTGGAAATACACCACCAGTTTTTTTAAAACGGAATGTAAGCAAACAGGCCAATTACTACACAAGGCAAAAGAAGAATTCTATTCTGCTAAAATTCAGGAATGTAGATATGATCTGAAAAACTTCTTTAGGGTTACGAATTTATTGATGGGTAAGAATCAGGAGAGTCCCCTACCAACATCACCATCAGAGGAAGATCTTGCAAATAAATTTTCAACGTTTTTTATAGACAAAGTAACAGCCATCAGAGAGACACTTAAACAAAAAAAAAGAAAAAGAAGACAGCTATTTAGGCACAGACGTATACTATCATGGGCCTCTATTAGCTGCTTTTGAACGTACCACCGAAGATGAAGTACGATCACTAATAATGAAGGCACCCGGTAAATCATGCGAAATGGATCCAATTCCAACAAAGCTACTGAAAAAGTGCCTGGATTCGGTAATACCGCTTGTCACAGAAATGGTTAATGCATCTCTCGATTAGGGAATTTTTCCGTCTGCTTGGAAGGAGGCCATTGTTCGTTCACTTCTTAAGAAACCTGGACTAGATAAGGAAGTGTTGAAAAACTATCGGCCCGTATCAAACTTGAGTTTTATCTCAAAAATATTGGAGAAAGTTGTGGCTCATAGGATTGATGCCCATTTGGATGCGAATTCTCTTCGCGATCCACTTCAGTCGGCATATCGTCCCAGGCACTCCACGGAAACGGCCCTCATCAAGGTCCACAACGATATTGTGACAGCCCGAGACCAACAATCTTCAGCAGTCCTTGTCCTTCTGGATTTATCCGCTGCTTTTGATGTTATTGACCATAATATATTGTTCCAACGCCTAACTGTGTCTTATGGTTTCCGTGATGGAGCTCTTGAGTGGATCAAGTCTTACCTCAAGAACAGAAAACAATGTGTCACAATTGGATCCGTCCGATCAGAGTCTAGACAGCTGCCTTTTGGTGTCCCCCAAGGATCTGTACTCGGACCGAAATTGTATTGCCTCTTCTTCAAACCCATTGGAATCACATGCCACCGACATGGAATGATGTATCACTGCTATGCAGATGATACACAAATCTACATGATCATAAGACCACTGGAAAATTGGAACAATTATTTCTCTCGACTTGAAGCGTGTCTTAGTGAAATTGGTTCATGGATGACATCAAACCTACTCAAACTAAACCAAGAAAAGACCGAGCTAATAATCTTCACCTCAAAGCAACACCAGAAGTATATGCCAACATTACAACTAAAAGTTGGTGATAATATCATTGAAAGCGTGCCATGTGTAAAAAATCTAGGTGCATTTTTCGATCAACACCTTACTATGGAAAAACAGGTATCCTCGGTCGTCAAGTCATGCTATTTTCAAATAAGCAATATTGGACAAATACGGCGCTTTCTTACAAAAGAAGCCTGCAAGACTATGGTGAATGCCATTATCACTGCCAGGCTGGACTACGGGAACTGCCTTCTATATGGAGTGTCAAAGGCCTTACTAGACCGGATTCAAAACGTCCAGAACACGGCAGCTCGTTTTGTTACAAGATCATCGAAACGGGAGCATATTACACCTATCCTAGCTGATCTTCATTGGCTACCTGTTTCTTTTCGTCCACAATATATGTCTACCAATCCTTACACGGGTTAGCTCCATCTTATATCAAAGATCTTATAATGGAATACAAGCCTACCAGATCACTGCGATCTGAGTCAACATCACGGTTAGTTGTTCCTAAGATCAGGACGAAGGCATATGGCGAACGTCGACTTGGTTTGGCAGCAGCATTTTTGTGGAACGACCTTCCTAATGTTATAAAGCAGGCCCAGTCCCTGGATATTTTCAAAAGACAATTAAAGACGCATTTTTATAGAATAGCTTTTTAAATTTCAGGTGCTCATTTTTAGCAACAAATCATAAATCACAAATGATGTTCTTTTATTGAGTTTTATTGATGGCGTAATTGTATTTTGTGTGTAATTTTTAGTATTTTAATGTTATAATTTCGAACACATATATGAGTATGGTTTAATATTTTATATAAGTTTTCATAGCTTTTAAATTATGTTTACTTGCGTTTTATTGTACAGCACTTTAGAGTTAAATTATTAATATTTAGCGCTTTATAAATTCATATATTATTATTATTATTATTTATTTCTTCTCAGATTTTCATTAATTTATGATTTTACAAAACATTGTTTGCTTGAACTGCTCCCCAATATGAACGTGAATTAACATTAATCATTTAAGTTGCAAATCTATAACGATTTTTTCAAAGAATTTTCAATATTAGTTACCATGGCACACATTCATCAAAATAAATTTTAAAAAAAACAATAAAGACAATAATGTATCCTAGTGTAGTCTATCTGCATGCTACATTATACCATAATCCAACTAAACCTGTATTTCTAATAGCATTTTTTAATTATTTAATGAAAATTTCTACTTTTTGTTTCCATGACAACATCATTCATCGAAATCAAAAACTCATGCACAGAATTATGTATCTTAGTGTATTCTACATGTGTACCAAGTTATGCTGAAATCGGACCAAAACTGTAGGAGGAGTAGCATTTTGAAAGCATTTCACAAAAATTCTTATTTTTAGTAACTATCGAAACACCGTTCATCGAAATCAAAATCCGATACACAGAATTATGTATCTTAGTGTAGTCTACTTGTGTTCGAAGTTGTATTGAAATCAGACAAAAACTGTAGGAGGAGTAGCATTTTGAAATTGTTAAATGCAAACAAGTAATTTTGAAAAATTGTTTACAGACAGACAGACGGAAAGACGCCGGACGAATTACCATCGCATAAGCTCTTCTGGTCTCTGACCAGTAGAGCTAAAAATTAACAAGTGGTGCGTTAGCAAATAAAATCATCATTACAATGTGATAAATATTCCATATGAAAAGACTCTTCAATACATGTACAAATAATAAGGAATAAGCAATCAAACCTTTATATCCATATTGGCATATTTCATTTGCTTCAGTATACATGTATACATTTAATAATTCTACAAATTCAGTCAAGGGGATCCGACCCCCCCCCTTCCCCCCGAACTGGTTTACTTTTTCCCTAAGCGGGGGACACAAATTCTCTGAATTAGCTTGTTATTCATCAAATAGTAATTGGAGGCTTAACACTTGTGATAAACAAAATATATAGAAATATATGCTCAGCATTGCAAATTTATAACACTAAAATTGAGAATGTAAAAAATTCAATTCGAATTGTAAAAAATATATTTCTTATTATGACGCTATTTCAGTGTTTGAATGTAAAGATGACAAATGCATATTGCAAACAATGGAACTCCCAGTAACAACATTTTGGCCGAGCAATGTATCAGTAGACGCCCCCACAACTGCTTCCATTTATATGACGACCATTCCAGTATCCCCTCCAACGTACACATACAAAGTCACGGAGAATTCTATAGCCTGTCTCATCATAGAGGGACGCTTCCAACTAATTGTGTCTTATATGAAATGGGATAATGGAATTGTAAGTTTTGGTCAGTTTAAAAGTTATTCACTTCTACTTCTTCATTTCGATGTTTTAGTGTATGAAAGTTCAAACAATTTGTAGATTTTCATATATCGTGTCTTACTTGCTGATATTGGGCAAGTACAAATTCATGGTAAAAGTAAACCTAGGAGTTTTACATTGTCTGAAGACTTTTATGAGAATATACAGGACATTTCTTTAAAATATACGGGAAAATTCTTTAGAATGAATAGAAATGTCTTATTATTAGTATCAAAAATGAGTAATATATAATGCAGATTTTAGATCCGCTTTCTGTCTTTGGAAGCTCTAATCAATTTGAGCAATATAAAAGGATTTGCTAATGAGATATTCGTCTCTACATTTCAGGCCAAAAAAATTGTAGATGTCCCAGAGAGTAGTAATGTTAGAGTAACAGGATCATGTGCTGATGAACAGGACATCACTTCCAGTCTTACCATAACAACAGAACATGCAGAAATTAGATCCTTGACATTTAATTTTCAAATCATAGAAGGCATATCTTATCTGGTATCCCTGTCTGCAGAAGTTAATGTTAAAATGTTCCCAGATGTCATGTTAAACCCTTATCCGAAATGTAGGTATCGCACCGAAAGCATATGATTTTATTTATTTTTTTTTTTTTATTTTTTATGTGGCTGGGGCTTCAAATTAATGTAGAGTAATGTAAAGTTTGGTGCTGGGATTTCCAGATGAAAGGGATATTTTTTAGTTAGAACAGCTCAAAGATATATTGAAATAAGATATGCACTACTCTGTAGAACTTAGGAAATGATTCTCCTTAATATATAAAACAATAACAGGTAAACATCCATTTATTTATATTAAAGATTAAATTTATGATATTCTGTGTCCACTTTTCAGGTGAGTTAAATCACGAGGTAATTGGTAAACCGTTGAAGTTGGCAGTCCCAAAGTTTTACTATAAATGTGACGTAGGGGGAAATTTCTCAGATGACACCATGGCTTTCACGTTCAAAAATTTACGAGTACAAGCATTTAATGCGGAGAATGGGAAATTTTCAGAAAACGGTAAATAATTTATATTTAATGTACGTCTACATATTAAATAAACATCAAGACCATTTATCAAAACTGCTTTAAGAGTTTAAACCGGTTTTTCAAAGCTTGCAGCAAGCATTTTACCACGCAATTGAGGTTTGCTGCAAGCCTGGAGCAAACACTGGATTTCCCAAATATTGAAACCTTGCTGCAAACTTGCGGCAAGCATTCCTGAAAATTTGCAGCAAATATTTGTGCAAGCTTGTCACAAGCTTGCAGAAAACATTGCCACTAATTGCAGCAAACAATTCTCCTGTGGTTTTGTCATAGTCTTGTATACAAGCAGCAAGTTTCCAGAAAGCCTTTGTCCTGACCTAAATTTTTAATCATAGAGGAAATCCCCCACATGTGTGTGGAATTTTCTGACGTGTTGATGGACTCTTTTTGTGTTCCTAGATAATGTTAATTAAAGTAGATATCTACAAAATCCAATAAAAGATATAAAGTGTATTTCATATTATACATGTAAGACATGGAAACAATATACTCTTTACTTATTTTCAGGATACGACTGTAATGAAGACGTAGAACCTATTCCAGGTCCTGGAAATGCTCCGTTGCATATGTTTACAGTGGCTGATAAGAACGTCACTTGTATTGTAATCAAAGGTGGTTTTCAGTTCAACATCCCATACATGTCACATTATGGGGTAAATGTCAGAATTAAAGCTGTTATGATGTATGTGGCCCTGTGGCATATGCCGATTGACTCCTGTCTCTCTGAAAAAAAATGATAAATTTTCTTTTATATGGTTTTAATGAACAACAATTATAATGATCCAAGTTAAAAAATGTTTCGTCACTGTTAGCTGCGCAATGATAAGAAGAAAAGCATCGGTTTATAAAAAGCGTAAGCTGCTCTAACCCGGTTATAGCAGTATAACTTGGGTTGTTATTTGATTCATCCCTTATAATCAAATATTTTTTCCTTACAAAAGTCTTCAAATTGTTTATATTTTAAATGTAACGTCAGGCGGATTGATACATTTTTTACATCTATTAAGTTATTGTGACGTAAGCAACCCAGGTTATACAATTTAGATTATTTTTTTATACAATCAAATGACGCCTTGTAACCAAAATAAAATTATTTAAGGATATCTGCTCTTAATCAACGAAGGATAGCTCTAAATTGTATAATTTTAAATGTTTCAAAATGACCCTTGAAATTAATTTTTTTTTTAATCATTCAAATATAATTCAAAGTTAATTGACGTCTTAGATACTGTGGTGTAAAACACATGTCGACTTTAAAGTAAAAAATTTAAACGTGCTTTTTAGAGACATCGAATTTCTTTAATTTTTAGCTCACCTGAGCCTCAAGTGAGCTTTTCTGATCACATTTTGTCTGTCGTCCGTCCGTCTACAAACTTTTCACATTTTCAACTTCTTCTCAAGAACCACTGGGCCAATTTTAACCAAACTTGGAACAAAGCAACCTTGGGTGAAGGGAAATTTAAAATGTTAAAATGAAGGGCTAAGTCCCTTTACAAGGGGAGATAATCAAGAAAAGACAAAAATAGGGTTGTGTCATTAAAATTCTTCTTCTCTAGAACCACTGGGCAAGAAAAACTGAAACTTATGTGGAAGGATTCTTCGGTAGTGTAGATTCTAAATTGTTCAAATCATGACCCCTGGGGGTAGGGCGGGGCCACAATGGGGAATCAAATTTTTACATAGAAATATATAGGAAAAATCTTTAAAAATCTTCATCTTAAGAACCACTTGGCCAGAAAAGCTGAAACTTATGTGGAAGCATCCTGGGGTAGTGTAGATTCTAATTGTTCAAATCATGACCCCCAGAGATAGGGCGGGGCCACAATGGGGAATCAAATTTTTACATAGAAATACATAGGAAAAATCTTTAAAAATCTTCATCTTAAGAACCACTTGGCCAGAAAAGCTGAAACTTATGTGGAAGCATCCTGGGGTAGTATAGATTCTAAATTGTTCAAATCATGACCCCCAGAGATAGGGCGGGGCCACAATGGGGAATCAAAGTTTTATATAGAAATATATAGGGAAAATCTTTGAAAATTTTCCTCATAAGAACCTCTGGGCCAGAAAAGCGGAAACATATGTGGAAGCATTCTAGGGTATTATAGATTCTAAATTGTTCAAATTATGACCCCGGGGTGTAGGGCGGGGCCACAATGGGGAATCAAAGTTTAACATAGAAATATATTGGAAAAAATCTTTTAAAAATCTCCTTCTGAAGAACCACTGGGCCAGAAAAGCTGAAACTTTTGTGGAAACATCCTGGGGAAGTGTAAATTTAAAATTATTCAAAACATGACCCCCGGGGATGGGGGGGGGCACAAAAGGGAATCAAAGTTTTTCATAGAAATATATAGGAAAAATCTTTAAAAATCTTCATGTCAAGAACCACTGGGCCAGAAAAGCTGAAACTCATTTGGAAGCTTCCTGGGATAGTGTAGAATTCAAACTGTCTAAATTATGATCAGTGAGGTAGGATGGGGTCACAATAGATATTACAAGGGGGAAATCTGGTAAAGAACAGCATGGTCAACGCTTCTCAGGTGAGCGATGTGGCCCATGTGCCTCTTGTTCATTTATTACCAATTAAGCTACAAATTTGATTCGAAAAATACACGCGTAAAGATTGCACTAGAAAATAGCTTTTATTTTAAATTTAGGATAATACTCTTTTTATAGTAGCTGTTTGAGAATACGTAAGTGTATTTGAATACTTAAACACGTCTAACCGAAGCTTTCTTTAACTTTATCTAAATTACTTATTTGATTCTTTGCAGATATAATTGAGAAATATTCATGCTTAAGTGCCAAATTTCCCCCCTTTTTTTTCTTTTCAATATTTTTCTAGAATACGACAGCATTGATCTCTCTACCAGATAGATACACTGTAACTGGAGACTGCAACAAAGCACTAAATGGATATTATTCCCAGAAAATAGTTATTGGATTTTATAATACCTGGAAGTTGACATTATACTTCTCCTCTGATGTACAGCAAAGTGAAATTTTAATAAGAGAAAAAGTTACAAAGTACCACATCTCACAGATTGAGCTGGGTTATGATTTTAATAACAACCTTTTTACAGATGCTGTGGACAACAGTGAGTAAATTGTTCCAATTCTGGTCATTTGAAGGGTTTTTCATGATAAAAAATCATGCATGTATAATTTCTCTTCACACACAAAAATTAATTATTTTTCGTAAACGTCACTTCCGAGATAATGTGAATAGTACTGCGCAGCCGCCAAGTCATTGAACTGCAAGTAGCCGGAGCGAGTAGACGTGGTCTCACTTGCTCGATCAATTTTGATATATTTTTACATATTGACGAGGTCAATATCTTCTTAGAACTTTTTCAGAGTTCAATTTTGTTTCTGACGTGGTCAGATCAGTATTCGGGGGCGATTTCGTCTGACGTGGTCAGATATTTTTTCATCGGTTTTGAAAGTTCAAACCACGTGCGTCATGGCGGACGCTCCTAACCATGCTAACCCTGACGATGATAAAGCACCGGTCAAGGGAAAGAAAAAAGCCTCGAACAAATCATCGTCTTCGGAGAAGACACCGTCTAACTTACGTTCGTCGTCGAGTTCGTCGACTTCGACTGGCACTTCCACGTGTTCTCGTGGTCATGGCGGAGGACATGATAGTTCCGCGCCAAATAACGAGAATGAGATTCTCAACATATTAAAAGCGATTCAAGAGAATCAAAAGAAACAAGACGATCGTATGACAGAGCTAGAAAATGATTACCAAGAATATGAAGATCGTCAGGACGATACCCCGGACGAACCGGGTACTTCCGGTGAAGCGGCTTCGAGGAAGCGCGCATTAGACGAGATTCTGAATGATAGGACAACAAGTACGTAAATGCCGGTAAGAAACTTAAAGTTAAAGAGACTTGTGATAAACCTATTGATGATGAACTAGCTAATCTCGTGACAGATTGGTTCCGAGAGGGAATCGAGGAAGAACGATATAATGAGCTTCTAAAGACGACAAATCGTCCTGAAAACTGTTCAGCATTAGTAACTGTGAAAACTAACCAAATGGTTTGGGATTTTTTTGAGCCCAACTACAAAATCTTCCGATAAGAAGATGCAAAATGTTCAAACTTCGTTGATCAAGGGTGCTTGTGCACTCACTAAACTGACTCATTTGCTCGGCAAGTGTGACAATCCTGAGATTTTAGACCTTTTGGGAAATGCTATGGAATCATTGGCATTGCTGGGGCATGCCAACAGACAGTTGTGTATGTTGCGTAGAGAATTTATGAAACCTGATATGAAGGGTGAATATACTCACCTTTGTAGTCATAATTTAAAGTATACAGACTATTTGTTTGGCGACGATGTCCCTAAAACTGTGAAAGACATCACAGATTGTTCCAAAATCAGCAACAAAATTGGTATCGGATATAGAGGGAGCTTCCGTGGTCGCTTTATGAGGGGACGATCATGTGGACGCTTTGTCCGAGGAGCTGCAAGGGGTCGTGGATCGTACTCGAATGCTGCATCCTTCTCATCTGATTCAAAAAACTACCAGCGAAGAGGCTTGCAGAGTCGCCTCCAGAAGTAGTTGAAAAGGTATGTGAATTTAGAGCAGGTGTACTGAAAAATTTCATTTCTGAATGGAAAGATTTAACATCAGATAAAAGTATATTAGATATTGTGAAAGGTTGTCACTTGGAATTTAAAGATGATAAAATTCCTGTACAAAATTCAAAACCTTTTGAGCCACGTTTTAGTTCAGCTGAATCATGTGTGATTGACAAAGAAATTAAATCTTTATTAGATATGAATGTAATTGAAGAATTGTCTGAAAATGTAGACCTTAGTGATGGTTTCATTTCCACTGTTTTCACTAGACCTAAAAAGAATGGTAGTTATAGAGTCATTTTGAACCTGAAAGAATTTAACAAAAACATTGTGTATCACCATTTTAAAATGGATACTTTTGAGAGTGCTCTTGATTTAGTGACTCAAGGTTGTTATTTTGCTAGTGTTGACTTTAGCAATGCATACTATAGTGTCAGTGTGGCAGAGGAACATAGAAAGTTTCTTAGATTCATATGGAAAAATAAGATTTATCAGAATACTTGTCTCGCTCAAGTTAGCTAGTGCACCTAGACTCTTTACAAAACTACTGAAGCCTGTTTTTGCAACACTTAGAAGACTAGGACATGTCATTATTGGGTATATTGATGACTCGTTACTGATTGGCAATTGTATTAAAGAGTGTTTAGATCATGTTTCTGAAACTTTAGCCCTAGTAGAGAGTCTAGGGTTTGTAGTCAATTATGAGAAGTCTGTTCTCACACCTAGTACAAAAATCATTTTCTTAGGAAATGTTATTGATTCTGAATTGATGATAGTTTATCTTACTGAAGAAAGAAAGGAATCTATTTTAGAGGCATGTAAAAAATTACAAACAAAATCAAGAGAAAAAATTAGAGAAGTTGCAAAGGTCATTGGACTGGTCGTTGCTAGTTTTTCAGCAGTAGAATTTGGTCAGCTGTTTTATCGTGATATGGAAAGAGCAAAAACTGATGCACTTGTACAATCACAACATGACTATGATGCTTTCATGTTTATAACAAAAGAAATGAAATTAGAATTAGATTGGTGGATTTCTAATATTTCTTCATCAGTTAGAAGAATTTTGCATGAACCCTATGATCTTACAATAACTTCTGATGCTTCTCATCTTGGATGGGGTGCTGTTATGAATGAATTGAAATCAGGGGGTAGATGGACAACAGATGAATCTGAAAATCATATCAATTACTTAGAATTATTAGCCTGCTTTTTTGGGTTAAAGTGCTTTTGTTCTGATGTAACAAATAAATATGTCAAATTATTTATGGACAATACCACAGCTATTTCCTACATCAATAACATGGGTGGTATTAGTTCTAAAAAATGTGATAAACTTGCAAAAGAAATTTGGCTATGGAGTATGAATAGGGATCTGTGGTTAAGTGCATGGCACATACCTGGCAAAGATAATTTGATAGCAGATATGATGTCGCGAAAATTTGATGATCAAATAGAATGGATGTTGAGCAAATCTGTGTTCCATAAAATTGTTTTAAGATGGGGACAACCTGAAATTGATTTGTTTGCTACAAGGTTGAATAAGCAAATTGATGTATATTGTTCTTGGCATCCAGATCCAGATGCCCGTTATGTTAATGCATTTAGTTTTTCTTGGGCAAACATTTATGGTTATCTTAACCCTCCTTTCAGCCTCATTGGACGTGTGGTGAGGAAGATTTGTCAGGACCAAGCAGAGTGTGTACTGGTGGCTCCAGTGTGGCCAACACAGCCATGGTTCAATCGTGTGTTAGAAAAACTGGTGGATCATCCGGTGATTTTACCTGTGATGGACAATCTGTTGACACTTCCAGGCACAGATGTGCAGCATCCTCTGAAAGACTCGTTGGTGCTGATGGCATGTCGATTGTCCGGTTGCAGTACCAAAAACGAGGAATTTCTCATCAAGCAGCCTCGATCCTTTTGGCATCATGGAAGTCGGGAACCAAGAAACAATATAAAACATTTTATACGCGATGGTTTCAGTTCTGTAGTGAAAAATCGATTGATCCATTTTGTACAACTATAGAAACTGTTATTGAATTTTTAGCACATCTTTTTCGCCTAGGTTTAGGGTATAGTGCTATTAATACTGCCCGAGGGGCTTTATCTTCTGTTGGACTGATTTTTGATGGGTTTACTGTTGGATGTCATCCACTTGTTATCCGATTTATGAAGGGTGTTTTTAATTTGAGACCATCAAAATCTCGATATGTACATACTTGGGATGCATCTATTGTTATCAAGTATTTGAGAAAATTGTCACCTGTAAAATACTTAAGTTTGAAAGATTTGACACTGAAGTTAGTTATGTTAATTAGTTTAATTTGTGCAAGTCGAGTACAAACTATTTCATGCATGAAACTTAGTAACATGACGAGAAGAAGAAATAGCTTTGTTTTTACTTTTAGTGATTTATTGAAAACATGTAGACCTAACAGTAGTATGTCTGACATGGTTTTGAAATCATATCCTCCAGATAGAAGGCTTTATACTTATCAAGGACTGCAAGAATTAGAAATAAGTGTGATTCACTTGTTATCAGTTATGTACAACCACACAAGGAAGTATCAAGAGATACTGTTGCCCGTTGGATAAGAACAGTGATGTGTTCTGCAGGGGTTGATACTACTATTTTTAAGGCTCATAGTGTTAGATCTGCATCAGCATCTAAAGCAAAAGAGAACTTTGTTCCTGTTGATGATATTTTGTCTAATGTCGAAACCTTCAGAAAGTTTTATGACAAACCTGTGCTGAATGATGATAAGTATGCAAATGCTGTTTTGAAATTAAAATAAAGAATTTGATTTCAGTTTGAAAAATTTTTTGTGTTGTGCTTTAAAGATTCACATTATCTCGGAAGTGACGTTTACGAAAAATAATTAGGAAATTAAACGAGACTTACCTTGGTAAAAGCGAAGTTTGAGTCCAATTATTAGAGTAAATAAAAGGCACTGTAGAGATAAGGTGCCTCCCTCCCACCCTGCAGGTGGTGAATGTATTGTTTGAAATTATTAGTGAAATGAATTTGGGTTTGATGTTTTGTTGCAAATCTATCAACCCAAAAAATTTTAGCTTTGAAGCAATGACTTGGCGGCTGCGCAGTACTATTCACCTTATCTCTACAGTGCCTTTTATTTACTCCAATAATTGGAATCAAACTTCGCCTTTACCAAGGTAAGTCTCGTTTAATTTCCTAATTTTCCTACATATTTCCTCTGTGCTTCTATGACGAAGGATACTCTTATTTTTTATACACATCTTCTATATATTTTGTAAAATTGATATATTATTAAATTAATATAAGTGTCAACACCCCCCCCCCCCTCTAAAACAAGCACGTGTAAACTATCAAAATTCTTACTCTAAATAAAAAGATTTTTTCTAATTTAATTTTTATGCAGATGTTTTGAAATTTAAAATTACTCGTAAAATTATGTAAAATTTACAAATGCATTGCAAAATATATTTTATAAATTTTCATAGTAAAAAATCTTACCTGTAGATCATAATTTCAAGGTCTGAAGATGCCATTGGTTAGTAAAAGCATTAGTGTACATTGAACTATGGCAATCTTTATTCAACTAGATGTAACCATAGTTTGTAATAAACTTTTGATTATTTAGTTAAATTTTGTTAGTTTTTGTGAATCGTACTGAAAATTGAACTGTTTGTTAGTGAAATGTCCTGAATAATCATGCTTGATGCAGATAATGTATGACAAGTGACTCCACGGTCTTTGTGTTATAGTTCATTAATTGATTTTATTTCTTATTGCAGTTCTCGGTACAAATAAAACAGCTGTTACTGCCAAACTTAGAGCATTGACAACCAATATGGATCAAAGCTACACGTGCAAGAAAGAGTCTACATTTAACATTCAGAATGGCATATCTATGGTTACCAAGGATCTTCATTTTCAAGCTTTCAAAACTGAAAATTCAACTGCTTTCAGTGGTAGGTGATATTAAATACAAAGTGCTTTTAAGGACAGATGATACAAACAAAAAAATGGATGCCTGGATTAGTATATTTTTTAACCTAATTTCATTGCAGATGTTGCAAATAATAAATTTCTAGAATATTAAGAAATTGCAAACCTTTTGTAATGTTTAAAATGCTATCCTTCTGAAACCATCCTTATTATTCTATACAAATACTTTTCACTTCAAATTCGATTTTTGTGTAACTTTGAATAAAAAAAATTATAAACTACGCGGTAAAACTTATTCATTTTATTTATTAAAACATGGCCTAAGTTGCTATTTTCAGAATTTTGGACAAAGGTTTGTTTATATCACCTGTCCTTAAAATGCAGTCAAACAACACTTATGTGTATAAAATATGGAAATAACAGTTATCACGCTAAAAATTATGATTAAGCAATACTAGTCGGAAGCAAATTTAACACATACTTTTTCAAAACAACAGAGGTGGGATCAGGGGCCATGGAGGAGCAAGCATCCCCGGTCAAACCAACGCGTGCTCATTGTAATGATCGGACAAGCGATAAAAAAAAACTTTCAAATCCAGTCAGTGTTAAAATACTGGCCTAATAATAAGTTTGGAACCGTCACCATTCTATTAAATGATCCTTTATATTTGCTGATAAGGACAAAAATTATGTATCGACCAGAAAACTTGCAAAATGACGACTCTAAATAAAACTTTACTCTAAACTCTTGATATCTTTGATTCATCAATTTGTATATCAATAGTTTGCTCGTTTTTTAGCAAACTTTTGCTTATCGAGTCACTAAGAGATTTAAAACCTATTTCGTTCGTTCGTTTGTTTGTTTGTTTAATTTCTCCCTTAGAGAATTTTTGCTCATATGGAGATGCCTATCGTACAGGATATATTGGTTCATAAGTAAGGGAAGTTGATGATAGAAAAGTTAATGTAATCACATTTATCATTACCTTTTTGTTAGGTATTTTTAGTACACAATGTGAATATGTATAATGTTGCTTCATATGAATAAGAAAATAGGTCTGCTTATATTGTATTTCTATTATCTTCTGTTTATATTAATGTGCTTAACTTTACTTGCAAAGAAGAAACCATCAGGTCTTTGTAAAATTGATATTATAATAATAAGCAGAACAAAAATTGCATTGACATGGTAACGACGTTCACAGACTGATATCAAATTAGAGGTCGATATATGTAAATTCAATACGATGATAAAACCTGATATATGGAGATTTAATATTTTTTCATTATCTTTAATAGCGGCAGTCTACTGTAAGGACAGTGGAGATAATTACATCCTGTTAATTTCTACAGGAGCAGCATTAGGAGGACTTCTACTTTTAGTCATCGTGGCTGTTATTGTATTTAAGAAGCGTCAGAGTTATGAACAATTAACGCATTGAATGCAATCTATTTTTTACAATAATTTGTTAACTTGCAAAGAATAAGAGTGAATTATCACAGATGTAAAAGTTTCTTTTTGATCCAGAAGTAAATTATTCAAAGGCGTACGGACCTTTGCAATGTATAGGAATTTTTTAATATGATATAGACTTCATCAAGTATATCCAATAATTAAATTAGAAATAAAATTAATTATTGAAGTTATATTCTCAGAACTTTCAGATCAAAGCATCATTATTGTTTTGTATTTAGTGAGGTAATTATGTATTTAAAAGTTATTATGATTGATTGATTGATTCATTGATTGATTGATTGATTGATTGATTGATTGATTGATTGATTGATTGATTGTATGTTGCTGAACGTTCTCTCGAGAATATTTCCCTCATATAGAAAAGCCACCACTTGCAGGTACACTGTAAAAATTGTGTTTAGGATTTAAACACTTCCATGACGTGTTTAGATCTAAACATGTATAGAAATATGTTTAACAACTAAACACTTATGTCTAAACATGTTTTATATCTAAACGTGTTTAGAAATTAAACACTTTCTGCAGTAAAATGCAGAGTTATCTTCCCGGAAATGACACAAAATACTCGTATATTTGAACGTTAATTTGAGCGGCCATCGAAACAAAGTAAATCACAAAAGGCTTAAGGGACGTATCAAGGAGAGATACTGACAACCCAATGGATAACTATGAAGAAATATTGAAAATCATTTGAAAGGCATCTTTTTACTGCAATATATTAAAGGTATGTTTTCTTTTTATTTAGATTTGCATTATTAAACCACGATGAGCAATGTAAACAGTGCCTTGAGGTCGTTTATAGACTTGTAGGAGAGGAGTTTATATTGAATTTCATTAAAAATAACTATTTTAATATAAGTATAGTTTCAATGCAGCTTGAGAAAATGGTGCCATCTTTAATGGGCAGCATACAGTACATTCACTTAAATCTGACTTTCTTTCCTACAGGTTCTGTGAGTACATGTAGTCCGGATTGAACTCAAAGTATCAAAGTACCTGCATGGCGTCATCTTCAAGTGCAAATTGTTGTTCCATGATCAACACTAAGAAACGTATTTCTGTGAAGTGTATTGGATTATCCCTAATTCGACAATATTCGATGGATTTGAATACATATACCTAAAACCATCATTTTGTGATTATCCTTGTGCATTTGAAATGGATTACTTTTCGGCAGTTACTGATGGGATATTATATCATGTGGTGCTATGTAGTGCTTTAGGACTGGTGAAAGTAAATCAAGTTTGACATTTTGATGTCTGACATATGGAACACTCTGCAACCGATTGAAACTGTAATTACTCATAAACAAAATATTATATAAAATAGATATTTTATAATTTTAATTGAAATATCTTTAATAAAGCATTATTAAATAAATTAAACGAAGTTTTGATATAAAATTGCTAGCTTTTTCTTTTATTTTTGTTGCTCATCCTTACGTTATAAATATAGTGTATGTCATGTTGATTGAACTTATAGAGATCAAAAAATAAATTTGTATAAAAAGAACACCACACAATTGTACAGTATTTACATATCTAAACAATCAGAGGCCTTATGATGAATAATTCACATCGGGTATTATTTTGAAAATTTTGACAATAATATTATGTGTATTTTAAGTAATATGCTCTTTGTGCCAAAATTTACAAGTGTTTATAGTTTTTTAGCAGTTACACTTGTTTTAATATGTTAAATCTAGATATGTTTAATTTCTAAGCACATAATTAAGAAATGTGTTTAAAATTCAAACACTTTTCTAAGCACTTTTTTGTCACCTTCTTTTTTATATGTTTAATTCCTAAACATGTAAAATTTCTAAACACATGAGAAAGTGTTTAGAATCTAAACACTTATGTGTTTAGATTCTAAACACTTTCTCATACGTGTTTAGAAATTAAACATGTTTAGGAATTAAACATATAAAAAAGAAGGTGACAAAAAAGTGTTTAGAAAAGTGTTTGAATTCTAAACACATTTCTTACAGTGTAGGGAGCTGAAAATGCTGTCTTATACTCGGCTTATACGGCCATAGAGCCGAAGCTTGGAAGCTTTTAACAGCTAACATAATTGTAATTTGTTTTGAAAATCATATGAATTATATATATTCTAAAACTTGAGTCCCTTATAACTAATTTAACTTAAATTTGAAAATTTCCGGACCAGACAAGAATCTTGCTTTAAGAATATTTTTTTTTTGTAATTCTATAAATTGAGCAAGAGATTTTTAACTTGAAAAATAGGTGTAAATGTATATCTTTGTTTGGAAATTTTAATATTAGTGTTAATTTAAACAATATTGTATTCACGGATGTTACATGTATCGTGAATAGGATTGGGCAGCAGGCTCAGCCTATTTTAGACTATTTTAGCCCTCTCCCTACATGTCAGAGTTCGTAGATTATGTTACATGTACTTCTGACTACATTGTGACACAAGTAACTCGTAGTCAGATTCAGTCCGAGATTGCACTTGTATGTTCAGTATTTGATATTTTCATCATTTTCTTGACAAGATTGCACTGAGAACAACTTTGGATTAAACTTTGTTGAATTTTGTGAAAACAATGATTTGTATTTTGTGAATAGTCGAGTTGGCTATTCTAAAGACCAGGTTTACAGAATATTTGAAACCAATTGTGGATTTAAAACTATATCAGAAATTTACAACCAAAACAAACTAAAAAATGTATTGAAGATTCGTAATTCAAATCGTCTTTTACCTGTATAAACAAGGAGGTGGTCTAGCATCCCATTAAATGAAGAAAAAATGTTTACTATGTAAAAAAAATGGGGAAAAAGTGATGTACACTACATTTAAGAATATATAGCTTTTTTAGAAATTAGTGGAAGGGGTTAACTTAGCATTTTCCGCAGAAAACAAAATTGGGGTCAAATGTTGTGAAATTCTATCCACATTGTTATCACTATGTGTTTACTCTTTCTACATGCAGGTTTAAAATATTTATGCATGTAGCTATAGTCATACATGAAAGGTGCCTCTGATGAAATAATAGATATGATGTTTACTTCCTCGTGTACCACGTCGGGTGGTTTGGGCGAATAAATAAAATGCAATTGAAACATTATGTGTATATTCAGGGCCTTTAACCATTGCATGCAACGTAAACTTTTTTCAAATTTCTTCATATCTGAAATATTTTTTTTTAATTTCAAGCTAATTAATTAACATATTAATAATGGTAATTATGCACGAAAGATATGTAAAAATCCCCCTGACGGTTCACTTATCGCTCATTGTTTATAATTTAAGATAAAAATACAGTGATTTAGATAATTAACAGCAATATCACAAGCGAAAATGTATAATGAACAATATATCGACTGCATTCATTGCGCATTGTTTCATCTCCTATAATAATCATATTTTAAATTTTTAAAAGACAAATCCCAATATGGTGATATACACGCGCAAGACAGTTTACGTTGGATTGATATTTATTTTGGGTGGGTATATAAATTATAATTAAAATCTTTTTAACTGTTTAAATTATACATTTTATATATTTAAGTTGCTGGTACTTTCATTACATTTGAAGTGTTATTCTAAAAAAAGTGTTCTGTCTAGTACTAGTTAAAACTATACATACAATACAATGAAGTCTCCACTGACATTATTATTATTTTTTTTAATTTTTATTTCTGAATACATCATGTTTATAGCATATCTGTCAAGAAACGTGTGTACCTAAAATTCAGTGAAAAAGACGGGATACGGTGCAAAAAAGCAAAACAAACGCGTGATAAACTTTCGACAGTTTTCAGTAGTAGAGAGACACTAGTTTTCTGGAATAAATTAAAAGTATAAGCTGAGGTCTAGGGAAATAGGTTAAATAAGTTCTATAAAGAAATTTTTTAAAAGTATTTTTTTTAAATAATTTTCTTGTTTAAAAATCATCACTTTATTATGCATATGTCAGACACAAGTTTTTCAAACAGGATTGTTCCCATTCAATTTCTAAATTCATATATTAGTACTTTGCTTCTCCGAGGAAATTTCACCGTAGTGCTATTGAAATTTACTAAAATAACGAATATGTTATAAGATAAATAAATACAGTCATATACTTGCACATATATTTCAAAAGAATATACATTAGACTTTTACACACACTCTGGAAAATCTGGAGGAAAGTAATCTTGGCGATTATGTTTAACAGAATAATAACTTAACCTAAAATTTATGTTTTAAAGAATTATAACTTATCTTGAAAAAAAAATGTTAGAAGTTTTTCTCTTATTTGACGAAGCTATATCATCCGCTGAAAGTTCAGAATATCAGTGCATGTATAGAAATGGAAAAGCCTGTATTAATGTGAAAATGGATGTTCTCTTTACCCTGAGTAATGAAATGGAAGAAATAAAATTTGATGGAAATAATTTCACCGCGATGAGTGGGGACTGTGCTAAGGAAGGAGAATACAAGGCTGTATTGACACTAGAGAATTCCAATGAAGATTTATTTTCCCTGTCTTTCGAAACCCTTTCTGATTTGTCTGTGAACATGAGCTTGATGTTTACATTCACTCCATCTGAATTTTTTCCAGGAGAACCCGAATTTAGTAAGACATTATTTATTTGTATGTATTCTACAAAATGTAAAACAATAAAGTGTAGCTTAAACTTTAGGACAGATTCAAATGACAAAGTTTACCTTAAAATATTGTACAAGGGCTATTTTTATATTTTAGATTGATTGTTGAATAAATTGATTGTTGCGTTAAATATTTTCAAATGACACAAGATTCATTTACTGAGTATTGAATCATCAGTCATTTGTGAGATACAGTGATAATAATTGGGTTTTTTTTCTTTTGCAAAATGAATGGGTTCTTTATTTGAAGATACTTTTTAAATAAACACGACTTGTACTTCGTTATTACTTTAGCTTCAATAACTTTACTGGACACTGCCAACTTGGAACTTGGAACATACAACCAGCGTTACAAGTGCGAATCCTCTCAGAGAATGACATTGTTTGGACAGCTGGAAGGTACCAATTACACAATGTACATGGATATGTCAAACGTACAGATGCAGGCCTTTAATATAAGGGATGGAAAACTAAGTTCTGACGGTAAGATCATTATATTAAGTCAAGATTTCAAATGCACTTTCTTTACAATTCTGGCACTCTATTTACAGTCATAAACATTTACCAAAATTCATTATTAGTCCTACCTGAAAATATATATGAAGTTTTCAAAAATATTTTTTCGATCTTTTTTATTTCATTTTCAAATTACTTCCACGAAACCTTAATAGTTTGTTTAAGCAAATCAGTTTGGTACACGCTTGATTGGATATCCGATATACTTACAAAATAACTGTAATTTTTTCTCATACAAAAATTAAATTCTACAATTCTATTATTATTAAATTGTATGGAAAATAATACATTATCAATACTTCCATTGTTATGAGATAAAATATGTTTTACAAGGTATTTCACTTTTTATCAGTGTTTGAGTGTAGGACTGATCTAATGACAACAACAGAACCAACACAACCAACAACCGAATCTGGCACAACAAATATGAGAACAACTATATCAGAAACAAATACTTCTGAAGCTCCTACAGGACCACCACTACCAACTGGTCGACATACAAAGTAATTGGAGATGATTTTAAACCCTGTCTCATTATGGCGGGAAGGTTCCAACTACAATTCAAATATATGAGGAAAGAAAATGTTACAGTAAGAATATATTTATACAATCTGTTATTATAATATAAACACTGTATATAGGGATCTTCGAAATGAATCATGCAATTTCAGTGAAAGCAGGGGAGTATACTTTAAGTGTAAAATATATTACTAATATGATAACAATCAACGGAATCAGAATATGAAAGTTTTAACCATAGCAAGTCAGATTTTTAAAAAAATGTTCTAAAATCTTTGCTGTGTTTTATCAGTTATTTTTACTCAGAAACTTTTGTTGCCGCCTTCCTTCTTCCAACTTAAAATAAAAACACAGATAAAAATACGGATAAATAGATATAGATTGGAAGATAAAAGAAAACGTTAAGTCATTTAGAAATTGAATGTTTTGCACTTTAATGAGAACGATTAAATTCATTGAAAGATACATAAATTATATGATTTACAGACTAAGAGAACAATGGATGTACCAGAGAGCGATGACGTCATTGTAACTGGAACCTGTGCCACTACCCAATCCAGCATGATCATCTCACCAAAAGATGATGCCATTAAAAACGTGACATTTTTATTTCAAGTTGATACTAATACTAGTAAAGCTTTTCTGATGTCCTGGTCTACAGAGATTAGTCTGGAATTATTTCCGGATGCCAAGGAAGGTCAGTTGTCATATTTTAAAGTAATTTGTAAAATTTTTTGTGTAAAAAAATACCCATGATAATATAATAGTATTGATATTGGAAAGTTAACAAAGATTAAAGATTTGTAGAGTTTTTGAGTAAAGGAAAACAAGACTTTTAGGGGGGAAATCTTTATTATTGTTGAACAACATTTGCCTTGAAATTAAAGGACAATAATGTACTTATTTTTCTTGTTCATATAGTTTTTATCAGCTAATCTAAAACACAAAGTGCTATCTCCCGTGCCATTGTCACACTCCCACTTGTATTATAAATGTGACAAAGGGGGCATCTTCTCAGATGATATTCTGACCTTTCTCTACAGAAATTTTCGAGTGCAAGCTTTTAATATAGAAGATGGGACATTTTCAAATAACGGTGATGTCATTTATACACGTTGTTTAATTTTTTTTTTCTAAATAGGCGATTGAATAACTTCTTGATTTTGTCGAGTAAACAGAATAAATAAAATTCTGCTGAGATATTCACTTGATATTAGAAAAAAGTTATAGTGTTCTTTTATCTTTTAGGAGAGGACTGCAAGGCAGATGTTGAACCTGTTCCTGCTCAAAATAGTCCCCCTGTTAACACATTTTCTGTCTCTAACGGAAACGAGACTTGTGTTGTATTTAAGGGAAGCATCCAGTTCTATATTCCTTATATGTCTAAAACTGGCGTAAGTTTTAGAATTTTAAAAGTCAAAGCGATATAGGCCCTGAGACTTTTCGAAAAATTAAAAGTGCTCAGTTTAGGTTAAAAAAATGCAGTATTTATCATTTGAACTGTTGGTGACCATGTGCATTATGACACCATAAAATACGTCATTTTTTTTACCATATCCTGTAAATTTCTTTGAAAATAGCCTAAAGTGCAAGTATTTTTCCAATATTCCATACAACCTCTGATCCAAAATGTGCAAATACATAATGAAAGGTCTGTTTCTGAAGATTAAAAACTATGTTTTAATTTTTGGAACATGGGGTGTGCTCATATTTTAATCCTTTGCTGAAGGCAATGAAATACGTGTGTATTTTGCTATATTCAAGAACATTGAATTTTCTCAAAGTTTGTTTTCCAATACTTTTATTATGAAAAAGAAATTTTATTATAGGAAATGAAAGCACCAAGTCTCCTCTTTATTTTGATATACGAATTCGAAATGAGGAAGATGGTGATAGTTTATTAATTGTAATGAATTGGAAGGTTACATTAAAGAGGCTGGGGGTGGCAGCCATTTTCAGACTATTTCGATCTCCTTTAAAAGAAGGGTTCCTTATAAAGATATACAAAAATGATCAAATTTTAAAATTAAAATGTATGAATTTTTTCTTTGCTAAATGATAGTTGACAGCTTAAGATACCGTATCTAAAAAAATAAGTTAAATCTGGTGGTTATTTGTGATTAATTTGTTAACACCCTCCAGCCTCCTTAAGTGTTTAATAGAATGAAAGTGACATTTTGCACAGGGCGAGTGTGACTGGTTGGCGGGGGATGCTCACTCCTCCAAGATTTAAGGCACCTGACTCCATTTTTGATGTTTTGGAGGACTGTGTTTGCCCTGCTCTTACTTTGTATTGTTTTATGGACTTTTGAATTTGAATACTGTTCGTTATTTCCATAAAATTCATTTCACCTACATGCACGAAGAGTGATCAAAAAGTTCGCGAACTATCTCTATATTTACAAAACCACAATTCAAATCAGAATGAAATTTGGCACACATACAGTCATGAACATGTTCTATAAATAGCATATGTAACAAAATGTTTTGCCCCGTGCTTGTGACTTCACAATGTGAAAATGACATCATAAGGTAGATCACGTGGCAAAAAATGGTTGACTCAGCTGTATTCTAAAAACGAACGGCTGTAAAGTTAATCGTATATCTTGGAAATTCCTTTGAAGAAGTTTATAATAATTTGTACACGTTTTATGAAGACAAAAAACTTGCCAGAAATTTTGTCATTAATTGGATTGATTGTTAGTGAAGGAAGGGAGATGTTTTAAAATGATGTTTGTTCTGTTGCCCAGTGAAAGCAAACTGGGAAAGAGATGTGTATTTTGTTAAGTAATTTGATATGAAAGATCGCAGTTACAGTTAGAAGTTAGATAAATATCTTTGTGGGGATCTGGGTTAGAATAGGTTCTCAGTACCCCCTTGCTTGTCGTAAAAGGCGACTAAATGGGGCGGTCCTTCGAATGGGACCGTATAAACCGAGGCCCCGTGTCACAGCAGGTGTGGCACGATAAAGATCCCTCCCTGCTCAAAGGCCGTAAGTGCCGAGCATAGGCCTAAATTTGCAGCCCTTCACCGGCAATGGTGACGTCTCCATATCAGTGAAATATTCTGGAGAGGGACGTTAAACAGTATACAATCAATCAATCAATCAAATTCCTAAATATCGTTTACTTAAGACTTTAAACATATAAGATACGATAAAGTGAAGGAACCCATACTTTATCCACATGTAATAGATAACACTCAAAAGACAGAGAACATGGGTTTTGATGGTCTCCATGCTCATTCTGCAAAAGGATATCATTATCCACTCTTACTATTGCTGAGATTAGGCCATTTCTGACAAATGGACGGTTTTTGTTGTAAAAAAAAAAAACTTGCATGGTAAAAAATATAAGCGTCGGAAAAAATATTCAGCTTTTGGAACAGAACGCTAAGAAGTATGTCACGTGACTGCCTATATCACGTGATCCGCGCATGGGCTGAAAGGCTGTAGATGCGCTTTAAAATTGGAGAGGACAACTTTGAAAAATTTTCAACACTGAAAACCTATATCATTTCTTTTTTGGAAGTTATTCAATTAGTTCGCGAACTTTTTGATCATCCCTCGTATTCAAATTCAGTATTAATTTATTTATGTAGGTTTCCACAGAAGTTATTTCTCTGCCAGCTAACTATAGTATAGATGGTGATTGCAATGTAAATGTTATTGGAGTTTCTTCTCAGCAATTGACCATTAGTTTTTACGAAACCTGGATACTGAACATCAGTACTTTTCATCTAACGGAAAGGAAAATACAGATTTATTAAGATCAGAGGAGGGTGTGAATAAGTACTATATCTCACGGATTTACTTGAAATATGTCTACAATAGCATTCTTTTTCAAGACGCAGACGATATCAGTAAGTTCTTTATTACTGCATGGCATGGATTTTTCATCATATTTTTCTTACCATAGGTTGTTGCTTATAAGGTCATTGAAACGTTCAAAGAATTTACAAAACGCTGTTATTAATTACGTTTGATTGTATAAAGGATGACAATCGAATATTTTTGGGGGGAAAATTAATTTTCAAACGCAAGATATTCCAAGGAATTAACTTTTCATGATTATATTATAAACAAGAAAAAGTAGAAACGACCTCAAAAACCAAAAATATGGATTTGTCTTGATTCTTAATTGACTTGTATATATTTTATTTAAATTTCAATAGACAAGAGAATATACGAAAACCATCTGGAGAATTCGTTATGATAAAAAAAATCGATCTCATCATAACAATTAATAAATTTCACATTTTTATAGTTCTTGATAAAGAAATGAAAGTTTCGACTGACATCCTAAGAAAACTCACAACAGACAAAAATAAGAGCTATAAATGTAAAGAAGCAACAACATTTTATTTCGACAATGGATTATCAATGGTTACCAAAGACCTCCAGTATCAAGCATTCAAAACAGGAGAATCAACAGATTTCGGTGGTAAGCTACTTTAGGTAAAATAGGATTACTTATTACTTTTTTGGAAAATTATTCGACTTAAACTAGCATATATTTATCAACCCTAACGTTTACTTCATATACAGAATCTCACAGTGAAAACTTCTCAAATAATGGTAAAAATGAATTCAAACCATATATTGTGGAAACCTTAACATTATACAACATTGACCTTTGGCTTTATATTTTTTTATCTACATAAAAAAAAATATATGTATGCAGGAAATTCCATTAATCTGAATATCAATAGATAAGATTTATTTAATTTTATATTTCTTTATAGCGGCTGTCAATTGTGAAAAGAAGGAAGAAAACAGACATTTTATACTCTACGTATCTTTAGGAGCAACAGTAGGAGGATGTCTGGTTGTTGTAGTGTTGATTATTGTACACGTCATCAACAAATACCGAAAATATGAAACATTAACTCTTTAAACATGAATAAAAATAATCAGGAATAATATAGCTAAAATATTGTAATTTAGATAGCTGCTTTTCATAATTCTTTGGCAAATAATAATACACCATAAAATATACTTTATAAAAAGTATTCATTCTGCCGTCAACAATGATTTATTTTGGCTAGAAATTTTTTTTAACAATTTAGCCAAATTGATCATACAGTATTGTGATAATCTGTAATATGTATTTAGGGAACTCTTTTAATAAGGAGTAAATCTTCATTTAAAAAGATTATTACTTCTTTACTAGACAAAATATAATATTATTTAATATATTGATTTCTATTGAGATAATTATTTTTAATTAGATACTTACTGTAATACATGTAATGAGAAAATATTGAAGAAAACTAACAATGACCGATCTTAAAATATTCTATACATGATACAAATATGTGAAAGGGAATAATCTTCAACGAAAGTTTTTTTTTATTTTAATGTTTTAATTACAAAGTGCTATCTTTGGTAGTTTTTTTTTTACATGATAGAAATTGTCTATAACTTATAGTATATGAATAAAAACTATGAAATAAAATAATATTTGAATTTTCTATAATAAATTGCCGGAATAGCAAAATCGATTTGTAAAGCTTTAAAAAACATCCTGATTGTACAGTAAAGTCTTCTGAAAGTGACATCAAAAAGATGCATGCATATGAGTTTCTGATTGAAAATTTCTATATTGTTTTAGTAGAACAGGTCCTCTATTAATACATTAGAATTCCCTTGTGTACCAATTGCGCCCCATTATTATCAAACCTATTTTTGTGTTCATGTAAAGCAGAACTCGTCTAAAATCTTGTACATGTACGTGAAAAAAAGAAAACAATTGCCGTTGCCTTCAATTCAACATTAAGATGTCAATAAAATGGTTATTTCAATTCTTATGTCGATATAGTATATCCCGATGAGCTTGAGATAAAAGATAACCACTGGTTCTGACTTATCTGTTTCATATTTGGATATTTTATGACATCAATGGTAATTAAACAACCAAGCTATGTGATAAATGTGATTACTTTAAGTGTGATTACTTTAGATTTTCAATCGTCAAATATTTCTTATACGAGGTAAATTTTGACAAAATTTGATGAAAAAGATTTTCAGCAATCTCGTTCATAGTCATCATTTCATAAGTTCTATGGTCGATACAATGACTTTGCAAGCAAATAGAATTTATCATTGAGTCAAATGCTGACTGACGTTTTTCATACTAATTGTAAGTCCATCATTTATACACTGAATTGACGTCGGATTTTCCCGTTCCGTCCCGATCATGACAATGAGCACACAGCGGGTGTAAACGTGGAAAGGGAATGCTCACTTTTCCATGGCACCCGATCCCACCTCTGATGTTTTGGAGGTCCGTGTTTGCTCTGCTCCTATTTTGTATTGTTTTATGGAATCTTGATCTTGAATAATGTTCATTATCTCCTTATGTTTCATGATATCAAGAGAGATGGCTATATCCACTAATAAGGAATAAATTATCTGCAATATTTAATTTCAGCATTCTCATATCCTTTCGTTATTTATAAAATTCAAAAATTGAATTTAAAGTAACAAAATAAGCTTGTACGATGTACTTCCAATATAATTGTTTGTTGTATAACGTAGGGTCCCTTCGGGATTTCTTTTTACCCATATTTAGGTGCTACCTACACTGCGTTCATACACACACACCCTCACAAACACACACACAGAAAACAAAGTGAATAAAAGAAAGATATATCGTTCATTCAGAATTTTTAGATTTAATCGTGAGCATAAAATTAGAATTATGGTTTTCAAGCTATAAATTATGTTCCATTGACTTTCTTGATGAATCGTTTTCTCGGAAAAAGTAGCAAAATCAACGACCAACAATATTTCCAGCAAAGAAAATTAATTTTTAAATTCAGCGAAATTTAAACTCGGTCCACATTTTAAGAATAGCTCACAAAGGGAACAGAAGAGTAAGGTATAGCTTATTTTTTTCAGTTCAAAATTTATTTTTTTTTTTGCGCTGTATTGAAATCCGATGACGTCAAGTTGACGTCATAACATCATAGCGTTCTTTTTCTTACGAAAACTTCCTATATTCAAAGAGCTCTCTTGGAGAAACGGTTTGAGATAATAACAAAAATTAAAATGACTTAGGAAGTGGTCACTCTAGACATGTTTCAAGAACAATTTTGTTAGATTTTGGGACTAGGCGAATTTTTTCTCATACCGTACTTTCTTCTTTATAACCTCGTATAGTATATTTAACTTACGTTTACTGTGTGTAAAACGTTGCTTTTTTCGATAATCTTGTGATGTATATGTAAAATTAAGTGATGTATGTTCAGTATCTCGTTATGCATATACAAAACCTTGTGATGTGTAATCGATAATCTTGTGATCTATATTCAACAATCTTGTGATGTTTGTGCAGTAATTACGTTTTGGGTTTCGATGTCGTACTAAAACTTCAAAACATATTCACTGGTAACAGAACTATTTCTCTGATTTACGCAAAAGGTTGGGTTATATATATCGACTTATCAGTGTGAAATAACGTTACAGTTTCCAAGCTCGGACTCGCAGCGTTCTGTTCTACTTCTACTTTGACTTTGATAACCAATGAAAAAAGTCCTTACAAAAGTCGAATATTGCCCACAATGCAATTATTGCACATACATCTCAAGATTATTGAACATACATCATAAGATTATCGAAAATTCTTCACAAAATTTTGAACATATATCACATGATTCTAAATATGCATGACAACATACTGTACATACATCACAAGATCATGATTACACCTCACAAGATTTTGCATTATATATCACCTAATTTGCATAAACATGTACATCACAAAATATTGCATATATACTCGTATCACAAGATTTTGAACATAGATCCTTGTAGAGTAAACTTCTTTTTGCAGTTGTCGGTAAAAATACAGAAGCGTTCGCTACCAATCTTAGATTTCTGCCAACAGATGAAGATAAAAGCTACATGTGTAAGAAAGAATCTACTTTCGACATTCAAAACGGTTTATCTATGATTACCAAGGAACTTCATTTCCAGGCTTTCAAAAATGAATATACAACTGCTTTCAGTGGTATGTTTAAGGAATCAGTCTTGTGAGTATAGTATGCTAGGACAACATTGATAGTGGGAAACATGGCGAAGCCCGTTATGCATAAATTATCTCATGTTCCCACTATCGTTGATGTCCCTGGCATACTATACTAGCTAGACAGTGATTCCTTATATTTCCATTTCATTGTGAAATAAAATTGTAGATTTAGACTTTAAAAATGTAGACATAGATTTAAATTACACGAGGAATCCCATGCCTATTTCAATAGTCCTCGCCCACTGACGTCAAACACAAAGGCAGCCGTACGAGATTCATGCATATTTGGCCTCCTTAGCGTCAGACACAGAGACAGATGCGCACGAAATTTGCATGCATATTAGACCTCCTTCATTCCTGACCTATCGACCAGCCTAATTTACCTTCCAGTAGAATTATCAAGAAATCAACTCCGCTTACTTTCAAAGAGGTATCACAGAGAGAAAAAAATAGAAATGGAAATATTGCATTTTATATAATTTGGGTTTTTTTTAAATCGAAGATTCGGGATTATATTATATTTTGGCCCGTCCGTCTGTCTTATTAGCTCTTTGTATGCAAAAACTTTGCCTATATCTTTGTTGCAATGGAGGTATTGCTTTATTTCACATGTTTATTCCTTGTGACAAGACTTTTGTGAACCAATTAATCTATTTGACCTTGGAGTTTCACCAATATTTGTAAAATACAAAAAAAGATCAACTTTGGTCATATCCTTTAAACAGTTCATGTTAAGGTTTTTATACAACACATGTTTATTCATAATGACTAGACTTTCCTTTGTGTACCATGCGATAATTTTAACCCTTTGACTTGGTCCATAGGGTTTGACCTACTTTTGTAAAAAAAATTCAATCTTGACCATAAACATTTGAACAATTTGTACTGAAGCTTCATATTTCATATGTGTTTTTGTGACAATTATTGGCTTTTCCCAGTGTACGATTATTTTCTTATTCTTTAACTTTGACCTTGGAGATGGACCCACATAAAAAATTTAACTTAGGTCATAACTTTTAAGCAGTTGGTTCTTGTGATTTTATTTGGACAGATATATTCATCATTACAAGACCTTTTTGGTAACAACAATTTTTATCGTTTGACCTAGGAGTTTTGACTTGCAATTGGAAAACTTGTCATATGAAGGCATCAGTATGTTACAAATACATCATATACAAAAAGAACACATATATACCTACATGTATGTTATCTTTGTATCTTTGATTTATGTGGATATGTTTGTAATTAGTTACCAACCAAGCTTTATTACAAAGGAGATTACCTTAACTTTTCAATCGTCAAATTCCCTTACTTATTCAACAATATACATTCATCACTTACATAGGTTTCGTAAATATCACAATTGATTTCTTTATATAGCGGAAGTGGAATGTAACAACGATGAAGAGACTTACCTTCTGTTAATTTCCACAGAAGCAGCATTAGGAGGACTTCTACTTTTAGTCATTGTGGTTGTTATTGTATATAAGAAACGTCAAAGTTATGAACGATTAACCATTTGAATGTGATCCTTGACAATTTCGACATCAAGTTGTGAAGAAAAGCTGGTATTACTTATATATCTGTAAAAGAAATATTAGTTCAATTCAGGCATTATGTTCAATGGCTTACAGGCCTTTCAGATGCAATGTAAAATTTTAAAAACTCTTATATCTTACTTCACTAAACATTTGCAATAATTTAGTTGAGATTTTTAGATTGTTGTTATAGTGATAATCTAATGGCAGCTATAACAAGGAAAAATGATGCTGAATTTTCTTTTTTACTTTGTATTTCATGTTTAATATACGATGTAAAATATATATACAATATCCATATAGAACAGCCGGTATAACTTCAAGTTTTGGGCTAAGTATATATTCAATTTTCTGTGTAGGTGACTTGAGCAAAAATGAGGAAATATTACAGATTTTATAAGTATATTCCTTGCTTGTACAGGTTGTATATTCAAGTTACACTGTTAAAAGAAATTTAAATTCATCATCAATAGCATTACATGTAGTACGTAATCTTTGTTGTCGAGGTATTTTCTTATGCCTACCAGCTTCTATCGTTAGGTAGTGGTCACTTGTTTGAAATTTGGTTAGCATTTATCTATTCTTAAAACTATTTTCAAGCAAAAGATACTCTTCTATATTGACATTGTATTTTATTTTACTGTACAAGTATAGTTTTGAGTTTCCTGTGAATTTAGATACTTTTCCCATAGTTTTATCTTTATAATTATCTATTACAATTTTCTTCAACTTTTTAAAACTGTATTTCGAATGTTGTCAATTTTTTCATCTTTATTCTTGTAGTAATTGCTATTAAAAAAATTTTTTTCAAACAAAGACATTGCGAGGGTATGCCATGAGTAAAATCCCTCTTCATGCATACGAGGGCTGTTCAATAAATAATGTCCGTGTGTATATTATATCAACTGATAAAGTGGTTTAGTCGCTATAGATTTTGAGTTTTTTTTTCAATTATCTTTTTTTTTTAATTTAATAATTAAATTCTTAATAAAAAAAAATATGTTTATGTTTCTTAATTTCTTCTGTTGCTTATTATACTTTGACCATTGTGAGAAACTTATAAATAATTCTTTTAACCATCTATCATCTTCTTCAAAAAATGTTAATATTCTCTTTGATGATGCATATAATTAAGTGAATAAAATGGGAATGATGCTTGAATTAATATTCTTTTCTGTTATAAATTAATATCATATATTACTTTTAGTTCGTTCCAGTCTGTTGTACAAAAGCAACTGTATTGATAATTATTGTATTGTATTTTAGGATGAAACATGAAACATATGGAGATAACGAACAGAATTCAAGATCAAAAGTCCATAAAATAATACAAAATAGGAGCAGAGCAAACACGGACCTCCAAATCATCAGAGGTGGGATCAGGTGCCATTGAGGAGTGAGCATCTCTTGCCGACCGGTCACACCCGCCGTGTACTCCTTGTCATGATCGGGAAATAATGGGAAAAATCCGTCGTCATGCAATTCAGTGTAAATAATGGACAAACAATTAATATGAGAAAACATCAGTCAGCAAATGACTCACTGATAAATTATATTTGCTGACAAGGTCATTGTATCGACCATAGAATTTATGAAATGATGACTTTAAAAGAGACTGCTGAAATTCTTGTTTCATTAACTTGTTCGTCAAAAATTTAACTCGTTTAAGAATTTTTTTATGAGTCGAGCATGCTCTAGCGTATCGATGCAACTGAGATATATATAAAGTCCGTATGCAGGTAATGAAGGTATAATCCTGCATAAGTAAGGGAGTTGACGACAGAAAAATTAGTCATCACGTCTATTACAGCTTGGTTGTTAGATTAACATTAACGTCTTTTTCAAATAAAATATCCAAGTATGAAACAGATGTGTCAGACTCTGTGGATCTTTTATCTCAAAGTCACCAGGATATGTCGTATCTAAATGAAAATGGAAAATATCATTGTTGATCGACAATCGATATATCTAAAGGTCGATTTGAAGGCCACAGCAAGCTTTTCTTCTTTTCACGCATAAGATTTTGCACAAACTCTGCTTCATGTGAATACAAAAATAGGTCTGCTAATAACGGGTCGCAATTGGTACCCATGGGAATTCCAATAGATTGTTGGAAGACTTGGTTCCTATAAACAACAAAGATATTGTCAGTCAGAAGCTCAAGCATTTTTTTTTATGTCAACTTCAGAATACTTGTGTGTACAATCAAAAGTGATATTGGGATCAGATATTTGAATATTTGTAAAACTTTATAAAATCATTATTAAACCTATGTCTTGATATCTTTATACAGCATTATCAATATGCCAAGGAACAGAATTCAATTACACATATTTAAACAATGAAATATGCATGGACATAAAGATGGATGCCAAATTTTACCTGACGAACGGAACTGAAACAGTAACTTTTACTGGAAACAATTTTACTGTTAAGAACGGACAGTGTGCAAATTCAGGAGACTTTCAATCGTGGTTGGTAATAGAAAACAAAAAGGCAGATTTGCTGACATTTACATTTAATGCTCCCTCTGATTTAATGGTGAACATGGGCCTGAAGTTTGAATTTGCTCCATTTGAATACTTTCCAGTTGCAGATGAGCTTAAGTCAAGTAAGCATTCAAGTAAGCATTCACTGTCCTGAGAGCTTTTCCCCCCAGATTACCGGGGGTATTTCCTGATTTTTATGAGTTTTATGTGTTTTAACATTCGAGACAGGTGTATGTAGGTACTTGTATTAGAACGTTTTTGTCCTTTTGATAGATACAATTTCCCCTTTCCATTAACTCAAGCGAAAGAAATTTAAAGAATTGAGACTTCACATAAGGTTGTCAGGAAAATGTTATTTTGGTCAAAAATTAATTAAGGGAATGGTTTCTTTAAAAGTAAGATGCAAATGCTAAAAGTTTTCACGAAAATGTATTTTGAATTCAGATATTATAGATTTGGTGACTACTAGAGACCTGCATCTTGGAGACTTTAACAAGTTGTATCTGTGCAAGTCAAAGCAGAGAGTGACTCTTAAAGGAGAACTGGATGGAGTCACATACACACTGTACATAGACATGTCTGACGTCCAAATCCAGGCTTTCAATATACATAATGGAAACCTCAGCT